TAAGATTTGAATTGCTCACCGACATTGATATGGTCATGTTCATCGAGCGCGGTATACGCGGCGGCCCCAGTCAATGTTCCGGCAGATATGCACAGGCTAATAACAAGTACATGCGTTCGTACGACCCGTCGGAATCGTCGACGTACTTGATGTACTACGACGTTAACAACTTGTATGGTTGGGCGATGTGTCAACCATTGCCATACGCTGAATTTCAATGGGTCAAAGACGTTGCGAACTTTGACGTGAGCGCGATCGCTCCGGATTCACCCATCGATTATATTCTCGAGGTCGATCTCGAATATCCACAAGATCTCCATGACGTTCACGCGGACCTGCCTTTCTGTCCGACGCGCGATAAACCGCCCGGCAAGCGCGAGGATAAACTTTTAGCGACTGTGTATGATAAAAAACGTTACGTTATACATTATCGCAATTTACAGCAATGTACTCGTCATGGTCTTCGCGTAACAAAGATCCATCGGGTGCTACAATTCGCTCAATCTCCATGGCTCCGCGATTATATTGAACTTAATACAAATTTCAGAACTCACGCGAAAAACGATTTCGAAAAAAATTTATACAAATTAATGAACAACGCGGTTTTCGGAAAAACTATGGAGAATGTGCGCAATCACGTCGACGTAAAATTATTAACAAAGTGGGACCGACGATACGGCGCGGAGGCAATGATCGCGAAACCGAATTACAGTCATAGCATCTTTGCGGAAAATTTAATCGCTGTCGAACTGCGTAAACTCGAGGTGAAGTTCAACAAGCCGATTTACGTGGGTATGTGTATACTCGATATATCGGAAGTCTGCTTGTACGAATTTCACTACGACTACATGTTACCACTGTTTCACGATAAATGCAAAATCATGTACACCGACACAGACAGTCTTATATACCGCGTCGAGTGCGAGAACATTTACGAGACTATTAAACGCGATATCGCTAGATTCGACACGAGCGATTATCTGGCGGACAACGCATACGGTATGTCTCTCGCGAATAAAAAAGTACCAGGTATTATGAAGGACGAGAACAATGGTATGATAATGACTGAATTCGTTGGACTCAGAGCGAAGATGTACGCGTTGAAGGTAGACGGTAAAAAGGACACAAAAAAGGCGAAAGGTGAGAGAAAGAATAACGTCGTAGCGCGAATGATAACGTTTGACGATTACACGCAGTGCTTGAACGAAGAGATCGAAATGACTGGTCGTCAATCGTGTATACGATCTAAACTGCATGAGGTGTACACGATATCCGAATCGAAAATCGCTCTGAGTCCATACGATGACAAACGGTACGTCGTACCGGACTCGACGGAGACGTTACCGTGGGGACATTGGCGGATACCTTTGTAATATATGCATTAACATTTATGTTACTATTAAGTACTACTATTATTGTATTGTAATTTACACTTTATGTATGTTTTCTACGTTTATATAAGTATTATTATTATTATGTTTTATGTAGTACCATTTATTATGTATTATTATTTTCAATTCATGTATCAACCATTTTCTTATATATTATCGTAATTTGTACTTTGTATATGTTTTCCTACATTTTTTTATTTTTTATTTTCATATAGTGAACATGTATTACTATTATGTATTATTATCATTATAATTTCGTCATGTATATTTTTACATTTATATGAGTCTTACTATTATATTTTATATAATACCGTTTATTATATATTACTATTATTTTTCATTTCATGTATCGTACATTTATAAGTACTTTATATAAGTCTTACTATTATGTTTTATGTAATATCATTTATTATGTATTATTATTTTTCATTTCATGTATCGTCCACTTATAAGTATTTTATATCTGTATACTCCAAAACGAAGATGGAAGGGATAATAAAAAATATTTTACACGCTTATATCCTTATGTAGATATATATTTTTATATGTAGAATAAAAAAATACATGAATCAAAATTGTATCAAATCACATTGTTTTTATGTATCCATGAATTGTGCGATCCATCGAATCCCAGCCACTTAACGTACACCTTGTCTTCCTTCCTGCGCAGTACTTTTTCCACGAGATACACATCCGGATGAGTAGCGCGATGCAACTCGTGCTCGTAGAACGCTCCAGCGACGGATTTTCCGCGATAGTCCTCGAGTAAGTAGGTTACGGGATTAGTACGTTGTACCTTAACGATCGTAAACACCTCGGTGGTCCAATTTGTCGTGTAACCCTTCTCAAAAACCGTCTTGTACTTGTTCACGCGTACCGAATCGCCTACTTTGAATTTTGCCGGTAAACGCCGTACACATGATCTATACCGCTCTCTTTATCTTGCGCTCCCCGCAGGACAGCCTCGACGTACTTTTGACCCAGCGGACCCAAGTTGGCTCGTAACGCCTCTCGACCTTCCGACGTTTGCAGCTGATTTTGAACCTTCGTCGCTAGCGAGTCTTCCGTCGTTTCGAAAACGTTCTCCAATGACTCTATCGTCGGTACGATTTTGGCACGTGGGGTGGAAGTTATCGGTTAGCGCGATCGATCGCTGGATTTATGCAGAGTTGTGGAAAGTTCGAACGTCTCGCTCGCTTCTTCTCCCTCCTTTTGTTCCTCCTCCTCCTTCCTCTCACGTTTAGGGGCAGACGCTGCATCTTCGTCGCGCGACTCTCTCTTTGTCGCGCGCTCGCCGGAATTGTCGGCGAAAAAATGCAACGGCTCGATAAGAGGTTTAAAATGTCTATCCAACGCGATGCCCTCCTCGATTCTACCGGTCTTCAGAGCGCGATGTTTCTTGCGGATCGACTCGCTCGTCTTCTCGGTCTCCCTCACGATTTTATCGCGCTCGCGCACATCTGCCATGCTTGTCTCTGGTTAAGTATCGATGACGACTGGTTACGTTACGGTATCGCAAATTCGTTAAATCCTTTTCTGTATCGTCCATTTGTAAGCGCACTGTCTTTGTCTATCACTATGAAACCATACTTTTGTTGCCAACAATCGCGGCACAACGCGTAAAATTCGTCATATGACATGTCGGTATTCACATGATCGTTGTAAACATGTTTCAAGTTGGTACCATCCTGTTTGAACAGGATTAGCAGTTTCGCGTTGTCACGTATCAGATGTTTAGGTATCCTTGCGTACGTCTAACAGAGATAGAAACAGTCGACGTTCGCATGGCGACCCATCGTAAAGTATTCTCTCACCGCATCCCGCTTGTCGCATGCCACGTCATCAAAGATAAAAATAGAATTTGGACGTGCCTCGCTCGGTGGAACGTCGCTGTTGTTGGAGAACGTAAAGTAGCCGATTTCGTCGATAGATGTAAACAAATTTTCGAGATATTGATACTTTGGCTGTTGCAACGATTTCGAGTAGACGTACACGTTCTCGAAACGTACGCCGTTCGGACTCTCGAGTAAGCTTATGAGAACGTTGGTTTTACCGCAATTCAACGGGCCGCAAATGATCGCGCGTATAGTACTCGGCAGCATTTCGCCATGCTTACGCTTCTCCACGCCGCTTCCCATTATTCGCGATTTCGCGTCGCAGTTCGTGACGCGTATCGCCAGCGGTTGCAATACGAATTTCATGCTCGCACTAAGGGCTGTGCGCTCTCGACCGCCTATTTAAAGACGCGCGAATCCGCGATTCGCGCAGTAATAAAATGTATCTCGCGTTACATCATCCTCCCGACATTCTGGATTTGAGCGCCGAGCAGTTGCAGTATATATCGAAGGTCGTGCTGTTACGAGTGTACGGTGACTACATCGACTACGTGTGGAACAAGCTTCCGGGACACTTAAAGGTGGATTCGGAGGTTCGAACGTATCGTCGCTGCGACGAGCACTACAATAAACCGTGGCAGCGAACGCACATCGACGGTACGGCACCGAAGATAAAGAACTGTAGCGAATGTCAGCGTCGGGCGGCAGTTTGTTGAATCGAGCGATAAACGCGCTTCCTTTCGAGTTACATATCCCGGGCTACCAATTTTGCGGTCCGGGTACTCGGCTGACGAAGCGATTAGCCAGAGGTGATACGGGTATAAATCCGCTGGACGCAGCGTGCCGAGAACACGACATTGCGTATTCTTGGAGCAACGGTCTCACCGATAGACATGCGGCGGACAAGG